TTTGTTTATGGCCTGTATCCCCCACCAGAGAATGAAAACGTCAGGGTTTTCTTTTTTCTTTCTTTCTTTTTTGAATCTTGGTTGTGTTCCTTGAGAAACAGGTAGTGTAACAGTGTAATTGTCATATCATCCTTAGCTCTAATCTCACACTTGACATTAGCAGATGTTCAGTAAATATTTGTTGAATGAATCCTTGGATTGCTGATTCACAAAGAAAGTCAGATGTGGACAAATGTGTAAGGCATTGTGGCACTTACAGAATCAGTTCACACACTGGGACATAATAATGCAATGATATTATTTCCTGGGTGTTCCCTTCTCCGGAAGCAATTGGATACAAGCTAAATTACCTGCAATTCCAGGATATTCAGCAGAGCCACATTTGCAGGTGGGGTAACTGGTGAAGGGAAAGGCTGGGAGAAAGGAATGGTTCAAAACCCTTGAGGCAATAGCGAGACTGCAGAGACTAGCATCTTGTCTTGCCACTTGCACTGTGTTTGCTTTGGGCTGGGGGCCTGGTAAGACTTTACAAGCCACCTGTGATCCTGTCTACCTAGCAGGATCATGAACCTCCCTGGGGACGTCAAGAAGCAGGTGGCAGACTCCCCTCTAGTTCTTGGCCAAGACACTTGCTCTACTGAGGCATTCTCTCCCCCTTGGGGTTTCAGCTTTTGAAATACACCAGCCAGCTTTTCTACATGGAGGTCTGCAGCATGCATTCCCAGGAGCAATGAGCACAAAACCCAGAGCTAGGAAAATACAGCAGGAACAAATGAGATTAACATCAAAACACTTGGAATGTTTGGAAAAGGTCACGATGAAGTGACTAGAGAGACCAAAAATGGACAAGCCCAGAGAGGAGGCAGCAATGAAGGGGAGAGACTGGGCTATGGAGGTGGAGATAAGCAGGTAGTTTCTGCAAATATCAGAGCTACTTGGAAGATAAAAATCAACAGAACTAAGAGATGGATCCAATTGGGTGGGGGGTGGAATGAGGAAAGAGGCGTAAGCAATGACTCCTGAGATTCTGCCTTGGGAGATGAGAGGGCTTCACCATGAAACAGTGCATGGACTTCCAGAACACTCTCCCCCACTGAAACCCCTTCACCTCCTCAACTCCTCCTCAACTTTCAGATGTCCACGGAGCATCACCCACCTGACTCCAGATCCCTCTGGTGCATGTTCTCACTTTCCTCTGCAGATTTGCAAGGTGCGTGATTATACAACCCTTTAGTAATGTCCCCACAGACTATAAGGCCTGTGAGTCCACCTGGGCTCACTCCTGCATCCTCAGTGCCTAGCACACCATAGGTGCTCAATGGTTCCTGCAGGCTGGTATTTCTCAGGGGGAACAGAGTTTGCTGGGTGTCAATGCACATTGAATCCCTCCACCACCACCCCAAAGGGAAGTGTCTTTACCCACCCCCGCTTTAAAGCATGTGTGCGTGAAAGTGCTGCAGTTTTGGGGACAGAGCATACACCGGATACTGTGTCTGGAAGTAGAAACAAGAGGATTAGCAGTGCTGTTAGCAGGACCTCTGCGGTTTAAAACAGAGGAGGGAGTAGATATGAACAGGAGATGAAGGATCTCTGGGCCTAGTGGAAGCTTGGGGGGAGGAACTGCAGGTGGGGCCTGGAGGTGGCAAAGAAGGTCCCAGGGTGATCGGCTCCAGCCCCTACCTCTATCAATGCTTCCCAAGGGCCTCCACAACCTCAAGAAAACAAATACTCCACACTATCCACTGTTGTGTAGTTTATTAGTTTGTTGTTTTATTAGTTTGTTGTTTCTACCTAGAAACACAGATAGAAGAGGTTCCAAGGGTCTGTTGATTGTTGAAAGAAGGAAGGAGTAATGTTCTGTGTTCAGTAAGTCTGGGGGACGCCCAGAGGGGGTTGCCATGCCCACGTGGGACAGACTGCTGTGCGGATTAAGCAAGACGATGTATATGAGAGTCTGGCAGCTTCAGAAACAGGTTTAAAATCTGGGAGGAGAGAAGCTGGGCTGGGCTGGGGGTCAGGCAGAGAGACAGGATAGGAGGAGGCTGGGAGGGGAGTCACTGAGAAGTCCCAGGAGGGGTCTTGGGGGGGCAATGGTCAGGCCCCAGCACTACTGACACTCTTGCCGCACCCAGCAGGTTGGCAGGAATTTGCCCTGGTGACCTCCCCTGGCACACTCCTGTCACCATAGCGACCAACTGAGGAACAAGCAGCTTGATTGTCCCTGCTCAGTGGGGCAGGTGAAACCCTGGCCACGTGACCGATACTGAGCCAGGTGCAGTTATGGACACCCGCCTCCTCCTGTCCTTAACCCTTTCAATGCCACCGCCACCAGGGCACAGAGTCCCTGCTGCCGCAGCCACACCCCTTCACGCCTGGGACCAGGAGGGCAGTGACAAACCACAGGACACTGCACTAGGAGTCACCACAGGGTGGGAAGGAATTCAGGCGGAGTGATTTGGAGCTACTTCACAGCTTGCCACTTTCCATTTTCTCAGCAATAAAATGAGGATGATAAAATACCTCCCCCTTCTCAGGGAGGTCAAATCGCTGGGAAATGCAAACACAGCCAGCTCTCATTCTGTATTGTTTCTCCCTCCATAGCCATTGTTGCATATCATGGGCTCCAGAAGTCGTCCCCTCCAGCATCGTGACACCCCTCAAGAGGGACTCTCTCATCAACCCACAGCAAGTCCACCAGCTCAGTGCTAACAAGTCAGGGAGGGGTGGGCAGCCCCCAAAGTTGTGCACCCCAAACCTACATTTACTAAAGTCCTTTCCAGGCAGAAACAACCCTTCTCCTAGCCCCACCATTTACTCTGGAATGTTCAAGTGGAAACCCCAAACTGACTGGTTTTTCTGCTTGCCCTAACCTTCCAGGCCATGGGCTGAGGCCCAGGATTCAGGAATGTCTCAAGGCTGCCTAGCCCCTAAGGCTCTGCTTCCTAGGCAGGTGGTCAAGGGTCAGTCAGGCTCAGGCTCTGGGCTAAACTGTAGGTCCTATGGTGGTAGTTGGGAGGTGAGGGTGAGGGGAGTGGGGGAATACTATTTTTTAAATATTAGCCTTCTGAATCACTAACATTAGTCAATCCCCTTTCCCTTCAGCCACCAATTCTAGATAAAGAACCCAGCTTGACTGTCTCCAAGGACCCCTTCCGGGTCTGGATCTGACCCTTATCTAGAGCTCAGATGTCTTAATTAAGCTCTTAATGACTATGCTGGTAAGAAATGATAACACCACCTGGTGTATTTAGAATCCCCAGTGACCTTAGAGCTCTGCTCATACTGAAACAAAACAGCCTGCCAGTCCACAGACTGACTCAAGATGGGGGCTAACAAAAAGGCCAGGTATTCATTAGGTGTTGAGTGACAAATCATCTTACTAGTCCTGACTCCATCAAATCACCCCTAAGTTGGTGAGGAAGAAGCCAGTGTGACCCTGGCAGGCCCAGGTGTCCTCTCCAGGAGAGCGCACTGACCCAGCCACAACTGAACCTTCACCTTCACCTCAGCTAGTGCCCTGGATCTCTCCATGATCATTCACTAAAATTACTATTGCACTTTGCACCAGATAAACATGGCTCCTGCCCTCCAGGAGCCCACAGCTTTACTGTTGCATGAGAAAGCCAGTCTACAGTATGGTAGACTCTGACACCTGCTTTGAGAATATGGATAAAAGAAATTGGTTTTAACTGGCGAAATCTGGTAAGGATTAAGGAAGAGGTGGCAATTATGTTCAGAAAGCTAGATACCTGGAAGGTGGACCCAACATCCCAGCAGGGGAGTCGAAGGGGAAAAGACATAAAGGGAGGTGTGCAGTGTAATCCTTCAGGTTCCTGGCTGGGGAAGAGAATGGGGAGCATGGGTAGGTCAGATCAGACTGGAAGGTACTGGCTTGAAATGCTATTTCAGCTCTCAACTTTCAGGATGGGGAATCCCTGTAAGTTTCTGAGCAGAGGAATACTATAGAAAAAGCAGCTACTTTTGCAACTGCTGAAGGATGGACTGCAGTAGAAGCCGGCCGAGCCCCGAGAACGCCACCACCACCACTGCTCCCCCAGACTTCGGGAATAAGATGGCTGAGGGTCAGGGTGCAAAGGAAGGGGATTTCCCTATGGGCTGTGCTGATTCTGAAGGTGAGAGGATAGTTTGTTTTCTCTAAAGGTTAAGGGGGAGGGAGGTTGATAGGGGCCATTTCAGCTCTGCCCCAAAATGCCCCCACTAGTATAAACATTTGGCTGGGTTTGCTCCACCTTGACTCCCAATATGAGTGGCAAATCATACAGTGGTTCCGATTCTGCCTCTTACAGAAATGATTTGCTTCAGTTTTCCAATCCATAAAATGGCAGGGGGCTGGAGGCGGTTGGAGATGACCTCTAGAGTCCCTCCTAGCTCTATTTCTAGAGCTGACAATTTCAGGATGCCTCATCTGGTCTGCCTGGACCCACGGTGTGGAGCGTAGTGCCTCCAAGACTGTTCCCCAACAGCTGGAGCCACTCCCGGCGGCGCCTCTCTTTCTCGTCTGCCAGCAGCACAGAAAGTGGCACCCACCGGAGGCCATGATTGAGGCGCGGAGAAGCGGGCCAGGTGCGTGGCCGGGCCGAGCCGCCTATGCTGCTAACAATCTGTGCCGCGGATGCCCGGGGTTCGCGCCCCAAACCTAGGCCATCCCTTGTAGGTCGGACCGGGTCCCCAAGCAGAACCTCAACGCCCCGCGAGAATTCAGCGCCGGAAGGGGTTGGGCAGAGCTTTGTAGGGTGGCTGGACCGGGACGTGGGAATCTCCGCCCGGAGCCTGGCAGCCAGCTGGGTTCGCGAGCGAGCTCGGTGCTGCAGAGATTACGTAATGGCGTAAGGGGCGGGGCTGGGAACTGGCAGCTCTCTGGGATTACGTAAGGGAATGAGAACGTAGGCGGAGAGTGCTGCGTAGGGGCGGGGCGAGGGCGGAGCTCCAGTCGGAACTGGGCGGGCTCCACGGAAGAGGGAGGCGGAGCGAAGGGGCAGTCGAGGTCCGCGTGGGGTAGCGGCTGGTGGACATGCTCTGCTGGGCCCGCTCCTGGAGGCGCCCCCACCGGGGGCTCGCGTCCTCCAGTCCCAGCTTCTCCAAGGTGCCCGTCGCACTCAGCAGCAGCGACCGAGGCGGCGCAGAGTCGAGGTCAGTCAAGGGTACCCGTGGGAAGCCGCCATTCGCCCCTCCCCGCCACCTTCAGAGCGGTGTCGGCGGCCCCGCCCCCTCCTCTTGGCCCCGCCCCCCCGCCCCTCTCCGCGCGTGGGCTCCGACCCTTCCCCTCCTCGTTCTCCCCGCCAGGCCGGTGCAGCTCTCCTACAAGCTTCTGGACGGGGAGGCGGCCTGCCCTGCCCTCGTCTTTCTGCACGGGCTCTTCGGCTGCAAAACCAACTTTAACTCCATCGCCAAGGCCCTCGCCCAGCAGACTGGCCGGAGAGTGAGCTTCCGGGAGGGGCGGGTCCGGCCCAGGGCGGGCGGGGCCCGCAAGGAGGCGAGGCGGGGCCAGCTGCCCCGGCGTGGCTGACCCCACTTCTGGGTCCCCATTGAAGACAGACTGGTGTCTCTGAGCAGAAAGGGGCATGGGGTAGACTTTCAAAGGATTCCCTCATGTTTCCATTCATCATCCTGTTCCTAAAAATATCACCCACTCAAACAGCCCTTGCTTGTTCACCAGAGCTACCAGGGGGCTTACTGCCTGTTACAGGGGCCCGTCTTTCTGTGCTTCAGCTGTTAGAAATTCTGTACTCCAGCTGTTGGAGCAGCTCAGGCCTGTTATCCAGTTGGGGTTGCCACCCAGCCAGGCCAGACCTTAGGCCTTATCTTCTCTGGCACAGTGGCTCCACATTCTTCATTTGGGCCTCTTAGATCTCAAAACTGGACCTTTTCACCATCGAGGCCCTTCTTCCACTTCAGGCTCTCTCCCCAGGCTCTCCACCCACCTGTACCAGAAACCTGCCAAGCTATCTAAACCCTGAATATGGATGTCAGTGCTGCCCACTTTCCAGGTGCTGACAGTGGACGCTCGAAACCATGGCGACAGCCCCCACAGTCCAGATATGAGCTACGAGGCCATGAGCCAGGATCTGCAGGACCTCCTGCCCCAGCTCGGCCTGGTACCTTGTGTCCTCGTTGGTCACAGCATGGGAGGCAAGACAGCCATGCTGCTGGCACTACAGAGGGTGAGCCACCACTATCCAGGGCTTCCCCTTATCCAGTATAGGTCCTGAACACCCAGCATAAGCCTTGGATGGCCAGGTTTAGTACCTGGGAACTATGCCTGAAACCTACCGTACCTGCCTTGAGGCTGGCCCCCAGTACAGTTCTCTTCCCTAGCCAGAGATGGTGGAACGTCTGATTGCTGTAGATATCAGTCCAGTGGAGACCACATCTGTCTCAGACTTCTCTACCTACATGGCAGCCATGAAGGCCGTAAGCATCCCAGATGAGGTGCCCCGCTCCTCAGCCCGCAAACTGGCTGATGAGCAGCTCAAACCTGCTATCCAGGTACGTTCCCTGGCCCTTGGATGGTATTATGGACTAGCACCTGTCAAGGGAAGAGTGATGGCCCCACCCTTACAGAGAGCCCCCCAACTGGACATATCTGCCCCCACAGGACATATCTGTGCGGCAATTCCTGCTCACCAACCTGGTAGAGGTGAATGGGCGCTTTGTGTGGAGGGTGAATTTGGATGCCTTGGCCCAGCACATGGACAAGATCATGGCTTTCCCACCACAACAAGAGTCCTACCCTGGGCCAGCTCTCTTTCTACTGGGTGGAAACTCCCAATTTGTGCGGTAAGCCAAGCTGCTGGCGGGAAGGGCATTCTTGGGGATACTGCTTTGGGGAGGGCTTAGGTGTAGGCAGGGGCAGCCCAGGAACTGGGAAACACCACTGGGCATGTGGGCTCACGTGATTTTCCATCTCTTCCCACTCTGCCTCCACTGCTGTTTCTCTCCCTGTCCACCTATGACTGTTCTTTTCGGTGGACAGTCCCTGCCACCACCCTGAGATTAGGAGGCTCTTCCCTCGGGCCCAGATGCAAACAGTGCCTGACGCTAGTCACTGGATCCACACTGACCGCCCGCAGGACTTCATGGCTGCCATCCGAGGCTTCCTGGCCTGAGTTTCTGGTAAGAGGGGGTCCAAAACCCCAGGCTTCAAGACCCTGCGGCCTGCTCCACAGTTCTGCGCAGAAGCACTCAGGCAGGCACTGAGAGGGCACAAGACTGCAGGGGTTGTCATACCTCCTGCTTTAATGAATAAAGACGCTGCTCCCAAAGTCCTGGGCTAAGCACTTTCACCACCAGCGACCCCGGGAGAATTGATACCAGGGGGCCCTGGCAGCTCCAGGGTTCATGGGGGCTGTCACACTGCCCCTGGACTCCCTTTGAAGCTGACTCTCCACCTGCTGCCTCACCAGCTGCTGCATGTCTTCCTGGAGGAGGAGAGCAAGTTCAGGGACTGACCCTGTACCCATTCCCTGCGCCCCCCAGCCCAGCTGGCACACCCACCCTACCTCCCAGGCCTCCACCTCCTGCCTCAGTTTCAGTTTCTCCTCCAAGACCTCCAGCAGCTGGGCCTCCACAGCTCGCAACTTGGCTCTGCAGTTGTCCAGCTCAGCCTCCACCGCTTGCTTCCTGCAGGTGGTCAGGAGAGTAGCCTGAGGCTCTGGACCTGCAACCTGGTTATGGGCCCACAGGGTAGCAGGTGCCGCCAAGCCCCTGCCTCATGACAGTGAGTCTATGCGGCTCTCCTTCCGGGGACTCCCCCACCCTCTAGCAAGACAGACTCCTGAGGGTGAGCCACCCCTGCCCTTCCACCCCACCCCTAAAGCAGCTACTGCTTCTCACTTGGCGATGGCTTCATCTCGCTCCTGGAGGACTTGGTCCAGTGAGAGCTCTGTCCGGGTGTCCCCCAGTGCTCCAGCCACTTGGGATTCTGGGGTCTGTTTTAGTGACAAGAAGAGGGAGCAGTAATCTGGGGCTTACCTGGAGGAGGTGCCCCACTCTGGAACTCCCCCCAGGCTCCCTCCCACCTTGACTCAGTAGTGATATCAGTAGAGGGAGAGTCAGACTTTCTGTACCTGTCCCCGAGAGTCCCAATCTCATGAACTGTGCCATGATGGGGGGTGGCATTTGTAGTCCCTGCCTGGCATAAAAGCAAGTAGAGGAGGGCAGCTCTCTGTTCAAACTCCTTGAAGTGTTTGGACCCCCAAGGAAAAAACCTGATCCCCAGGAAAGAGGTTGGTTCAGAAAGACACTTACCCCGTGAGGGCCCCAGACAGAGAGGGTGGCCTGGTAACTGAGACCTGCCAGCAGGGTGGGGCAGGTGAAGACATGCACTTTGCCCTCCTTCAGGGCAAGGCGCTCCTTGTCAGGCCCCACCCCCTGTGGGTGGCCACTCTTCTGCCTTCCTCCAGAACTTTGGCAACTGCCAACCCTTCCTCAGAGCCTTGTTGATCCCTGCAGGTAGGCACGTAACTCACCACGAGGGGGCGCACAACTCATGTCAGGAGATGCGAAAGGGTCAGATCAGGGCAGTTTCCATGTTTGAGAGATGCAGGCGCTTCAGCCTCCTCCTCTGTAGAGTTAGCAACGGGTACCTTGAATGGCATCATCCAGACAGGAAACACCAGCAGGAAACAGAAGGGGAAAGTTTACCCACCCTGTCAAGTTACTCATAACATCTTGATTTTCCATCCTTCTAAGCAATCCTGCTCTCTATTCCTCCAATATCCCCAACATTCTGATCCTTGAGTGTGAGTTGGTCTGCTGTGCACAGGGCAGTTATGGTCTGGGCATCCTGTGATCAGGGGGAACCGCCTGACATTAGAGGTATTAAAGAGAATGTTCCCTTTAGAGAAGCCTTGAGCAAGGTCATGCCTTGGGAACTGGGTCCTCAACTCAGCCCTAAACAGGAAATACTTCCTCCAGGACACCCTCTGCAGCCATGACCCCTGGTTGTCCTGGATCCCACTCAACCAGGTGTGCCTCCAGCAGCCCGCCTTAACAGTTTCTTTGGCTGAACCCCAGGTGAAGAGGAAGGATTGAGCTCTATCCCAAACTCTCCTTTTGCTGAGCAAATGTACCACATGTGTTTTGGGAGGCTGCGTGGTGCCCAAACAGGACCTCCACTCTCAGGGGCCTCCAGGATCACAGGGATGAAACACTGACAGTCCCCTGGCAGGGGCCCAAGGGCAGTGGGGCACAGACACCCTTCAGGCGCAGTCACCTGAAAGGGCTTCCACAGAAGCTTGCCCAAAACAAATCCTCTAGGCTGGCAGGAGTCCCTCAGGAAAAGGACTAATATTCACCAGGCATTATTTTTACTATTTGTTTTGAAACAATTTCAAACTGCTCTTTACAGTCCAAAAAAGGTTGTTGTTGTTTTTTTTAACCTTTTAAGGTTAAAAAAAATTGAATGTGGTATCAAACATAGTGCCCAGTTGTCCCATTCTTCTGGTTTCTCTCCACTTAAAATAATTTGCAGACTCTTTGCGTTACATGACTTCGAAGTTGCTGAAGATTACAGGGAAGTTACTTTGTAAACTGTCCTTCTGTTTGGGTTTGTCCAATCTTTCCTCCTGATTAGACGGCCATTATGCATTTTGGGCAGAAATATCACAGAAATGCTGTTGTAATCTCATATGAATGTGAACGACGACTGATAGTATTAATGTCAATCACTTGATCATGAAGCATGAAGGAGCACAGGTATTTTGATACTAGGAAATCACCTTATCCATGGTTTGACATCCATTGATGCTCCTTGTCCCAATTAGTTATCATTACTACCATGGCTCAGAGTTTCATTTCTTCTGGTTGGCATTCTGTTATAAAGAAGAACCCTCTCTTTGCTGTTCATTTACTCATATGTATGTCAGAGGGGCTCATGATTTTTTTTATTCAATGGATGGTCACCCATTCCTATTTATTTTCATGTTCACATTCCTCCAGGCTTGATCAGAATACCCCTTGTATCATTTTAACTTTTTTTTTAAAGATTTATTTATTTATTCATACAGAACTGGGGTACAGGCCAGAGGTGCGGAGGGTGAGAGGATCCACCAGAGACAGAGTGGGGAGCAGAACAGGCAGATCTACAAAGTACACTGCTGAGGGGAGCAGCGGGCGGGCCAGGAGAGGTCTACCATGCCACATGGATCTCCTCCGGGGCAGGCGGGAATCGAACTCATGTGGAAGTGGCTTTAGCCAGTTAGTGCTGTGCTTTAACCCGCTGCACCACCAGGGAGGGCCCCATTTTAACTTTTTAAAGATTTGTTTACTTATGCATACAAGATTCACCAGAGACGGACTGAGGAGAAGAATGGGCAGATCTGAAATTCTACAGGGAGCAGCAGGGGAGACAGGAACAGTCTGCTGCACCATGTGGGTCAGGCCCTGGCTGGGCCCAAACTCAGGTTGTAGTGATAATGCTGAGACAACCTGAGTGCCACCAGGGAGGCCCCGCTTAGCGTTTTAATATACATTTCTTTCAACAGTTCTTTTTGATTGAACAAGGTACTACAGGCTCGTCTTGTTTGCATTGCCCTAGATTTAGAATTACCTATTTCTGTAAGAATACCTGGATTTTTGGTTTTTGCTTTCCTTGGTGGGATTAGTATTTAGTATTTAGACACCAAAATCTAGAAGTTAGATGTGCTCATCGCCATTAGGAGTAGTCTCCAAACTTCGCTCAGAAGACACTCCCCACACACACAGAAGCGTGCACATGGACATCTACTTTATTTCTTTATCTGTATGATGGTTTCTTTTATAGTCAACTTGGCCGGGGCATAGCTTGCCCCAATATCTGATTGACGTTATTTCTGGGTGTGCCAGGGAGGGTAATTCAGGAAGAGAGCAGCATTAGCTTGGTGGATTGAGCAAAGCAGCTGGCCCTTCAGTGAAAGTGGATGCCATCCAGCCAACTCAGGTCCCAAACAGAGCAAGAAGATAGAAAGGGTTGAGTTCTCTCTGCCTGACTGCTGGAGCTGGGGCATCAGTCATCTGCCCTCCACCTGGTACTTATGCCATTGGGGTTCCTGGTTCGCAGACCTTAAAAGTCCATAATGGGAGCTACACCCCCAGCTTTCCTGGTGTCCAGCTTGCAGACAGGAGGTCATGGGACTTCTCAGTGCATGAGTCAATTCCTCCTAATTCCCTCCTGCTAGTCCTGGTTCTCTGGAGAGCCCTAGCTAATACAGTTTACATGTATGGAAAAAAAGTTTCTACATAGACTTTAAATTCTGTATGAGGACTTAGGATAGGTGCATCATTGATTTCTGCTTTCACATACTTTTATGCCCTTCCCCCAGTTGTCTTCAATATATTTCATAACTTGGTGACTCTCCCTGTATAGCTCTAAACCCCCAAACAACTGGATTTCCCTGATTTCAATGTCCCCTTATGTGGGCTCTTCCTACAGGGTCTCCTTGCTGCTTCTACTCCAAAACCAACTTCATGTGAGGCCCGGGCTCTCATTGGGCTAAGAAACATTCCTAAAAGCTTTCCAGTCATCCATCCATCCATGAATATTTATTGAGCACCTACTGTGGTCCAAATATGTTTCCAGGTGACGGACATGAAATTGGCAGACAAGACTCCCTAATGGAGCTCATTCTAGTGAGGGGAGACAGACAGTAGACAAATGAGCAAGTGTATCAAATGTTAAGAATTGCTATGGGGGGAAATTAAGCTGGAAACAGAATGCAGAAAGACCAGGAACTTGCTGTTTTATGTAATTCTGTGCTTACTCCTAGGAGACCCCAATTATTAACACACCACTTAGAAGAAAAGCAGCCATTCTTACAACTAGAGTATGTCCCACAAGAGAAGCATTCATGGATTAAAAAGTGCTATATTTCCAAGCAAAACCAAAAATAACATGTTTGAGAAAATTATTAGCAAACTCAAATTATTAGTAAACACCTGTCTCCCCTAGTATGACTCGTGACATCTGACAGGGCAGAAATGCAAGTAAAGGGTTTGAGTAAATTTGTCACAAACCATGAGCATGGAAAAGAATTGTTTCAAAATAAAATTATTCTTACAAATATGTGATTTTTAAATATTTCAAGTTGATACAACATGTACGGTGCTGATTTTTTTCGTCTGCACCCCTAAAATTAGAAGATGAGGTCACATTTTTTTCTTTGAATCTTTTCATTGGGAAAAGGAGGGGATAACTTCATATTCCAGAACAAAGTCCTTACTCAAATTTCCCCAGCTGCCCACCTGTGGGGATCATGCCCACATCTCCCTCTCCTCCCTCCCAAGGATGGCTGAACACCTTGCTGAGGGCTGAGTGGGAAGGTGGTTGCAGACTGATGACAAGCGGGGCTGGGAGTGGAGGTTGGATTTTGTGGCTAAAACAGCTGGGATTTGCAGGGTTGAGCAGCTTACAGAGGGTGTCACCCCACCCTCATGACCTTTTTGTGTTGACCTGACTGAGCCTCATTCTTCTCTTCTGTGAAGTGGAATTAGTGGAGAGTCTTCCCATAGGACACAGTGAGGGTTAAATCGGGCACCTCACAAAATGGTCAACGCTTTGTCCAATCATGGATCTGATCAGACTTCTTAGGAGAGGAAGGAAAGGGAGTAAGCCTGCCAGGCCCAAGGTAGCAGCAATGGGAGAAAGTCACACAAGCCCCAGCCATGGATTCAGTCAACTTCTCTTCCCTGCCCTGCACCCCTGCAACTCTGTCCTGTAACAGTTCTGTTCCTGTATCCTACAAAAACTTCCTCCTCCAGATCCCTACAGCCCCACAACCCCTGTGTTTCTCTATGATTGGCTTGTTAATTTCAAGTGTCTCCTTATCAGCCTGAAACTTCAGGAGGACAATGGTGACTGCCCTCATCCCAACCTGGGCACTCCAGTGCTGAGTGGGACTGACATCGACGAGGCAATGCTAGTATTATCCAGCAGGTGGCAACAGTTCCCAACATGAGCGCTCCAGTGGGCGATGGCTCCACCTCATCCTTCCAGACTAGCTGAAGCTCCATCCCGCCAACTGCCCCCAGGGGCTTTGGGAGCGCCTCAGTGACCAGCCACTGCCTCTGTGCTCCTTTATGGGAACGCCGTTCGTTCAAACATGCCACTCCACAAAAACTTTCTGCTCCAGCTTTGGAGAATCGAGGAGAAATGGCCTATGCTGGGTCAGACATCTAGCCACAGACTGTGTCCACAAGGTGTGACAAGTGCTACAGTCAGGATACACATGGATCTTTGTGGGACCACACAGAAAAGCCCAAACTTACGTTTGAGGGGAAGTGTGATTTAGAAAGGAAGGACTAGTAGCCATTGCTGAGGGAGAAGTAGAGAAAAAAGCAGGGAGGTTAGTGCTCCTGGTGTGAAGGATGAAGTGGGTGCTGCTGGGGTGTAGGGGTAGGCAGGGGGCTGGACACAGGACCCGACCACGGAGGACATGGATCACCATGTTGGAATATCAGGTTCCTCCCTGAGAGGGAAATACTGTCCTGAATGGGTAGAGGAACCAGAATGCCAATACTGGAGGGCAGAGATGCCCCTTTGACTTGAGTGGGGGCAGGGTTTCACAGAATATTGGTCTGGACTGAGTATCAAAGAATTCAAGTGGGGGCCCTCCCTGGTGGCACAGATAGATGAACCTATCGCAGCCACTGCAGCACAAGTTCAATCCCCAGCCAAGGAGGTGACCCACATGGTGCAGCAGACCTCTCCTGACCTGCCCGCTGCTCCCCTCAGCAGTGTTTTTCAGTAGATCTGTCTGTTCTGCTTCCCACTCTGTTTCTGGTGAATTCTCTCTCACACACACTCCTACCTCTGTACCCCAGCTCTGCATGCATACATAAATAAATCTTGGGGAAAAAAAAAAGAATTCAGGTGGGAATGATACGAAGGGCCAGTAGAGTCAATTTAGTGCTGTGGTCTGTGAAATAGTCCATAACTTGGTCATTGACTCTTGTGGGAATCTCATGTAGCAGTTTCTATTTCTACTCCTGCCATTCAAGTTTCTGTCTCCTCAGACTCTGCCTGTCAGGGGTCATTTCTGTTCCATCAACAGCCTTTATTTCTGCTTCCATAGACACACTCCCTGCTCATAATTTCCCAAGCCAAATTAGTCCTGCCTCTCAAGTGTCCAGCCAGTGTTGCACATCAACTCATCAACCATCTGCTTGCCTCCTCTGGATTTCGGGGCAGGCACTTCAAATGCTGCTGTGCTGGCCTGAAGTCCACCCTTGTTGCCTCTGGGCTCCTTCTCCTGGGGTCAGTCCAGATGCTGAGGGCCAGTCTGTTCTGCTCACCTCTGCACATGGCCAGTCACTAGGACATTGCTTCTAGTTCATAACAGCTATCATCTTGTAAGTTTTACAATAAACATATTCTTTTCACAATTGACCCAAGTTTATAATAACATTAAATGTCTCTTGAATATCTTTGCCATTCTCTCCAGCCCAGTGGGTCCTGTTTTTTGTTCAGATGACGATGTCCCCCTTTCCTGAACATTGGGATAGTCTTCCAGGAGTCTCCCAACAGGCTATAAAGGCCTTTTCCTATGCTGACTGCATTCAGCCTGACCTCTCCCGTGAATACCAGACTCAGTGGACAAGGGCCTGCTTGCTCACTCCACTGGGATTGTCCAGTGGGCAACGCAAACTTAATAGGTGCAAGCCCCAAAGCTTAATTTAATGCCACCCTCAAATGGCTTCTTCAACTCTTCCCCTACCCTTGTAAAGGGCAGCCTTGCCCAAGTCCTTATCATCCTGGATTCTTCTCTCTCAGTTGACTCCATCTTTAAAATGTAACTTATCACCATCACCACCATCCCACCATTGTCCCAGTTACCTGCATTATTGCCATGGCTTCCTAAGCTAGAGCCCTGCTTCCTACTATGTCCACCCAGCAATCAGAGCAATCCTGTGAAGGGCTAAGATGGATCACGTTCCTCCTCTGCTCACAACCCTCTGTGGCTTCCACCCCACTCAGA